TGAAATAATTGTCGGTGAATTTTTGTCGGTGAAATGTTATGTCTACGAAATGACCGTCGGTGAAGCGAACTGAACCGTAAAATTTTTATTTACGTGTTTTATAAAGTTTTGTGTGTTTAATTTAATTATGTTTTATTATTTTTCCAGGTGAACATTTATTATTCTATGCTCGTCTAAAAGGTATTCCTACTGATCAGGAACAAGCTGCCATACTAAAAGCTCTTCAACAAGTTCGACTTGAAACATTCAAGAATCGACTTTCCAAGGGTCTTTCTGGGGGTGAAAAGCGTCGCCTCTCAATTGCTATTTCTTTAATAGGTAACCCTGTTGTGGTGTTTCTTGATGAACCAACCACAGGATTGGATCCAGAAGTTAGAAGATTGATTTGGAACATTATTAATGATGCAAAAAAAGGTAGAACTATTGTATTAACCACACATAGTATGGAAGAGGCTGAAGTTTTATGTAATAGAATTGGAATTATGGCAAAAGGAACTTTAAGATGCTTAGGACCACAATTGAGATTGAAAGAGATTTACGGAAGAGGTTTCAAGTTGAGTTTTTCATGTAAAGCTAAAAATTTTGATGTTGCTACAGAGTGAGTTTAAAATATATAGTATTCAAAAAATTTCTGTTTATTTATCCGAATATTATATATTCTAATGAATTTTTTTTTTCACAAAAGGTTTATTGAATCATTATTACCTGCAAATGCCAAAAAATTAGATTCATTTGTTACAAATGTGTCATATGAATTTGAAACTGAAAATGGGTTAATTGCTAAATTATTTAGAGAAATTGAAGCTCATAAAAATGAATATGGAATAGATGATTGGGGATTAAGTCAAACTACTTTGGAAGAAGTCTTTTTAAAAATTATTGGTGAGGCAGATGCTGAAGCCTGATAAAAAATATCATATTTTGGTTTTTTTTTTTTTAAGAACAATAGAGGACATTTTGGGTCTTATCTTTAATACGTATGATTATTTTTTCATTCTGAAAATGGGTTAATATTTGTTATAATAGTGTATATAATTTAAATACCTAATTTGGGTCATACAAAGTTAAATTTCTTGGAAAAAAAATTATATATTTACTAGCAAATAGTACGTCCAAATGTCCGTACTAAAAGATATTTTATTAAAAGGTTATTTTTAAATTCCTTATACCTAAATTATTTTTTTTTTAGCTATATAAAATAAAACTTTTAATAAATTTAAATTAATCTATTTAATTTTTTTACTTTAATTTTTTAATTTAATTTTATATTAAGCTTTTTTTTAAATGTTTTGAATTAATTTTTTTTTAAAATTAAATCCTTTTTAAATTTTTAATTTTTGAATATTTAAATTTGTAAATTTTTTTTTAAATTAAGTTTTTTATTTTTTGTATTTGATTTCTTTTAGCATTCGGTTTTTTTAAAACTATTTTGCTTTTACAGTCAGACCTCGTTAACTCTTTATATAGTCAACTAAGCATCACTAAAATAGCTTTAAGATGCAATTAATTTTTTGGGGAATTTACAGAATTTACAAATAAGGGCCCAAAAACGAAAATAATTATAAATAAAGCCCAAAGTGAAAATAATTATAGATAAAGGCCCAATATTTAAAAATTATTACAAATAAGGGCCCAAATATACCGTCAAAATTACTAGTCGATTTAAATGTCATGATTAATTGCTTCATTTCGTGATTAAATAGATATTTTAGAGTTATAGCTCATTATTCAGAATTCAAAAACAATCCAACCGACTGACAGATTTTTGAAATCCTGCAATGCAAAACGAAAAATTAACTATGTGTGGCCTAATAGCTTTACTTCTCCAAGCTACAGTGTATGATGCTTCAGTCCCCACTTCAGAACGAACACAAATTTATAATATCATGAGGTCGAAGTATTAATGGCGCAGTAACTTTACAAGTTAAACAAGGTAAACAAGTTGATCATGAGGAATCAGCCTTACTATATGAATATAGGCATCTTTGCGCTTGTTAACTGAAAGGGTAAAAGGGCATGAACTGGTTTTATTTGTAAAACAAATAGCCAACAGCTTATTTTGTTTGTTCGTTCTGAACTTATAAGAAGCAAATTCAACAAAATAACTGTCCAAGGCTGAATGAGTATTTTCATGTTAATAAAAATCATACCGATCGGTTATTTTATATTTGACATGGTGCTTATTATAAGGATTATTATTACATTTCTTATGCGTTAACAATTAATGACTATATTACAACTCAGACCAATGTGACCAATTTGACCAGTCTGGTCCAAGAATTTTATTGGTCAAATAGTAAATTTAGCTATATAATATTTAGAATAAATGTATTAGTCGCACCCTGCGATGTGCTTATACATCGCATGTATATATAAATTATACATTTTCGACTTGAAAATAAAAAAAGAACTTAGATGTTTAGTTAGGATTAGAGTTAGATAGGGTTAGGGTATAAATTATACATTTTCGACTTGAAAATAAAAAAAGAACTTAGATGTTTAGTTAGGATTAGAGTTAGATAGGGTTAGGGTATAAAAGAGATCTTATAGTAAAAGTTCGCAAGGAATTTTTATTGTTATAGCGCGAAAGATAGTTTCATATGTGAATTTTTGAGTTATAAGCAACTTTTGACAAAACGAACGTTTGTTTTGAAATTTCCTGATCGTGCTACGTTACACGTAATCTTGAAATTTGATTGGTCAATCATTATAATGCGATATATAACACATCGCAGCGATGCCTAATTAAGTCCTAATATTAATATTAGATTTATACATATAATAGACTTGACCAATTTGACCAATTTTGACCAGACCATTTTGACCAGCAAAGTTTTGGTCGACCACTAATTTTAACAACACTGAATTACAACCAATATTCAAATCATCGAAACGGGGCTTAAATCATAGGTTCTAATTATTTTGGGCCCTTATTTGTAATAAATTTTCATTTTGGGAATATATATCGATATGTAGCATTGTTGTCCGAAGCGTAGCGGAGGACTTTATATGTTTAGGTAATGTGATATTTTTGATGCATCAAATAATCGTAATATCAAAATTGTAACTTCCGTATTTGGTGTCTGTCCGCATGCGTATAATAGTTACATTCTTGATACATTACATTGTTATGACTTGTGCTGAGTCAAAAAAATAGTTGACAAGTTTATATTATTGCGCTCCGGACAATGCTGCGCATTAACCTAGTTATAAATACTGTAACGATAATCAAATCAGCTAATCATATGCAAGTATTCCACAACATAAATAGTTGTTTAAACATCAAAAAACCTTTCGAATATATCAATAAAAAAGAAATCCTAGAAAATGAGTGAACGGTAAGATCTGTATGAAAGTCTTGTTATTCAAACTTTACAGTTGTAACTAACTAAGAGATCCCTGATTTACTTTATAGTAAAGTTCTAAATAAATACTTTCCGCCAGATTTCGATCCAGGTTAGTAGTTTTTTTTTAGTTGTTACCATTACCATTAATTAGTTATACTAATTGAAATTATTTAATTTTACTAAAATTATGGTGTATAGCTGGTAAGTTATTTGCCGCATTATCAAATTATTTTTTATACCTACTTAAGACAGCGATTTAGATCTAATTACAATCTTGAAATATTTTAATAGCGATTCCAAGACGAAAACAAGCGAAAGATGCACAACATAAGGTACTATTAAAGTTATTTTAGTTACAATTGAGGAGAATAAAACTTAACAATTATAATTAAAAAAAAAAAAAAATTTATTATTTAAAAATAGGTCCGTTTGATGACACCATATGCTATGAGATGTGAAACATGTGGTGAATACATTTACAAAGGGAAAAAATTTAACGCTCGTAAAGAAACTGTTGAAGGGGAAACCTATCTATCAATTAAAATATTTCGATTTTATATAAAATGTCCAAGATGTTCAGCAGAAATTACTTTTAAAACAGATCCTCAAAATACGGATTATATTGCTGAACATGGAGCATCAAGAAATTTTGAACCTTGGCGAGAAGAACGGCTTGCAGGAGAAGAAGCAAAAGTACAAAAAGAATTAGAAGAGGAAAATAATCCAATGAAAGCATTAGAAAATCGGACATTGGATTCGAAACGAGAAATGGATATTTTAGATGCATTAGATGAAATTAGAACTAGAAATGCGAGAAATGAACGAGTTGATGCAGATGCATTATTAGATAAATTATTAGAGTCAGATCAAATTAATGAGAAAAGTGAAAAAGAAAAGGAAGATGAAGAAGATGAAAGGTTGGCGAAAGCTATATTTAATACGGTTGATGGAGATAAAGTTAAGAGGGTTGCAGATGAAGAGCCAGAACTTTCACAATTACTCTCTGAATCAGCAAAATCTTTTGTTATACCGAAATTTAATAATACAAATTCAGCTGATAAAAATAAAGTTGCGGAGAATTCGAATAAACGAAAGAAAATGGGATCCGAACTTGGAATTGTAATTAAAAAGAAAAAAACAGAAAATAATAATTCTCTAGGTTCTTTGTTGGGAGATTATGGATCTTCTGATCAAGATTCTGAATAATAGAGTTTAGAACCGGGTTATAGTAAACCGGGCACCCGTGTCAAAACGGTTCAACCGGGGTCAAAAATTTACAACTCGGGTCAAAACGGTTGAATATGTAACCTCTAACAATCTGTTACTAATACTAGGGATGTTAAACAGCTCGGTTTAGTCGGTTTTCGAGTCAGTTAGAGTCGAGTCGTTTAAAGCCGACTCTAAGTCGACTTCAGTAATATCATATGATATTTACCAAATTGAGAGCAATATGCATATCGATGTCAATATATGCAACAATTAGGTTTAGTTTTATTGTTATCTATCTTGATTTGTACAACTTTACATGATTAAAAAACTCAAGTTTGAGTCTGATACTGACTCGACTTCTGGAGTCGAGTCAGTTCGGACAGGCACTTTAACATCCCTAACTAATACACAGAAAACATAACAAAATTTAACACATTATAATTGTATTGTGAATAAGATCAAATCACATGATTGACATATTTTATTAACCAATAAAATGTCAAATAATTTATCACGTGCATAATTAATCAAACCTCGCTTCATAACGATAGAGCGTATTCACATAATATACAAAATTAGAACTGAGGAAAGACCCATTCAATACACAGTAATTAGCCAAAACATTAAAATAGATAACTAATTATTAACATAAGCAAATAGGAATAAAATGTCTGAACTATTGATAAAACGGGCATTTTAAGGAGAAGAGTAAGCATATCACACAAAAAAATAATCGTATAGCAAAAAAAAACAAATATTATGAATATCGAAAAAAATAATAGCCAATTGTTGCTAAATAATCTCTCCTTTTCCCTAAAATGTCCGTGATGTTTAAAAATTATCACTGCTCAAGATTTTTCCGAAGAACAGCTATCAGTTACTTATCTGCAAAACTATTTTGCTAGTCAAGAAAAACAATACAAAGAACTAATTATACGGGTGATCCGGGTGACAATTTTATATCCGGTTCGGAACTCTACTGAATAAATTAAAGTCTTTTATCCTAAAAGAATATTTTTTCGAAATTTTGGTAATTTTTAAATTTTGTTTTTACAGTACATAATATTGGAGGTGAGATAATTTGTATTTTAGAATACATTCAGTCATACGTTCATACGTTCATACGTCTGAGGACAATTATAAATGTCTTAAGGCAATGACGATGACGTTTATACCGCGGTAGCGGAACTGTAAATTGTTATTTAGATATGTGGCCTAAAATAAAAGTAGCCACACTTGAAGCTAGGACACTTATGCTAAGAAGTGCGTAGCATTCTAGTTAAATTGGTAGGTTCACAAATTTACTTTTTCGGGGACGTCTAAAGCGAGGATCAATCGCCAATCAAGTTATAGAATTTTTATGATCGCTGGCGAAACAAAAACAAAAAACCCGAAAAATGCTACCTCGGGTAGGTTAATCAAAAATGTCGGGAAGGCAATTTTGCTTATATATAACTACCTAAAACTTAGCCTAACGCTAAAGTTAATCGAGAAAATTATTAAGAAATATGATTGCCTCCGCTTTAGACGTCCCCTTTTTTATACATAATAAAATTTTAACGGATTATTGTAATTATATTTGAATTATTTTTAAGATGGCATGATTCTAATTTAGATAATTAATAATTCAGTTCTAAAAATGAAGGAATTCTATATGTCTCTACATAATTTTTTTTAATTTTTACGGTCTCTATATAATTCTATATTTATAAATTATATAATAATATTAAAATTTGTTTTACGAATCGTTCAGTGGAATGATACCACCCGTTCTTAAGAGAGATAACCCATGAAAGAAGTTGCTTATATTGATTATATAAACAATAGAGTTTGTAATAATAAATATATTACAAGTGATTATCCCTTTTAATAAGAGTTTAGCTTCATATCCATTTGTATTTTTCATAGATTGTAAATTAAGTATCAAAGAAATTATTGGAAATATTAAATAATAAAGAGTTCTAAATAATTCTATTTTAGCAAACATTTTACTGTAATTGTAAATCCACTGAAAATTGACTACACTCTCGACCGATGGATCATTATTTAATTGTTGCGCCTGAAAAATCGAATAAGAATTGACTGGTACACTTGTTGATAGTGATTGTCGAAGACTTTCCAAATCTTTTTCGTATTTTTTTTGTGAGAAACGAAATAGAATTTGTGTGAGAATATTATGAGATGCTCGTCCTACTGAAAATATTATCATCGCTTGAAAGAATGGTGAAGAAGATAAATTATATTGTTCATCAACAATTTGTTTCTTATATCCATAAGAAGAAAGAATAATAGCCGAAATACTGATTAGAAAACTAACTATAGGAGACCAATCCTCATAAACTTTTTGTATTGATTTACTTAGGAAAGGTAAAAGTAATAAAAGAACACCTCCTAAAGACACAATATATATAAAGTAAATAGCTGTATGAATAACTGTATTTATCTCTCGCAAGATAAAATAATCAATTCTTGGAGTCCAAAAGGCAGTTTCAACGTCTCTAAAAGAATGTATAACAAAGAATATGAAAATGGTCACATAGGCAATCGAAATTAAATAAGTAAAGGAGGTTGTAAAGCAGTAATTTCTAATTTTATTGAAAGGGTCATTCATATTGAAAGATGTATATATACAAAATTTAAGTATATGTATAAAGAAATTGAATTTTTATTTTTTATTTTTTTAATTAGTTAACGTTCAACGTTAAATATATATATATATATATTAATACGAAATTTTTATTAATTATTATTAATTATTTGTGACATTTATGCAGTTTATCAATATATTTTATGTAACAATGTCATTTATTTATTCCAATTTTGTATACAACTTTGAATACGTATACGCCAATAAATATCTATATTAATAATATAATTTTAGTATTTTAAAAAAAGGTTAAGTACTTTATTTATACAAAATGTAAATCTTATACATATCAGTCAGTACGTATCGGTATCGGCAAATCCTGTTACAGCTTATATTGAAAATATATCGAACTGAATTTTAATATTATCACATTGTAATTTAAAATTCTCTATCTTTACTAAATTGAGAGTTCTCTATAACTATATATAAAGCTTAAAAAAATTTTTTTTGAATCTTTGTGGATATTAAAATGAAATTAATTTGTAAATAGATGACGCAGGGGAAAGCCAGGATTCGGGCATATGTGTTTATTATTTACTATTTACCGGAATCAGCCCCACCGGCAACATATACGTAATTAACGTATCGTGATCAGGGCTAGTCTGGTAAATAATAAATAATAAACTTGAAAGCCCGAAGTCTGGTTTTTCTCCTGGTGCCACTCAAATAGAATGGTTAGATTCTATAGCGATAGCGATATTGTAGCGGCAGTAAATTACTACGTATACATTTGTGCATTATCGTTATCAGTTATGTATCGGTATGTGGGAGGGATACAGGGACACGGAAATATTCTTTCGATTTAAACCAAAAATTTCGATCGATTTAAGCAAAAATTTCGATTTATTTCGA